GCTCGGAGCTCGGCCCTGCTCCCCTCCACACAGCAGCCTGCCGGGCCCGGCCCCCGGGATGGCGCCCCCTGCGGACTGACCGCCGCCTATTAAGAACCAGGAACACAGTAACACTTGTAGCACAGTAACCCAGGTTATCATTTTACATTGTTTGTTTACTAAGGGAAACCTGCTGCGAAAGAGACAAAGAAAACCAAATAAAATAAAACCGGATAAACTGGAAAACATGACAAAAACCCAGTTAGTACGTTCAACATAACTTATAGCTACATAACGTTTTAAAATGAAAAGACAAGAAAACAACTCATAGCACTTCCAGCTTGTTTCCTTTAGCTGCTAGCTACAGTTAGCGTTCAGATTTAAAAGGAAAAGGCTTTGTGTAAACTGCAGGAAGTAAAGATATGGTGTATACAAACTGATAAATAAAATATTCCCCTAGCTTAATGTCACAGCAGCTACATTTAGTATTTGACTATGACATTACCAGAACAAAATCACACTACATACTTAAATCACATTCAAATACCTCTCATGTTTTGAGTCAATGCACAGTGGGCACCTTGTTCCATCTTACTGCATGTACATATACTGTACAAAAGAGTTTGCATCAGGGTAAACAGAATAAACAGAATAGTTATCGTACATCCATAAAATGTATTCTCATCATTATTATAATAGCAGTATTATGACACAACAATTTTTAAACTGATGTTATGATGATGATGATGGTACTGTATGTTGTCTATGGAAATTCCTGTTTCCCAAGTGGACTACGACGAATGTGAAGCAAGATTAATCAGAGAATGAAGTTGGAATTGTTTTTAATTACTTGTGTTAACCTTTTATTTACAGAACAATAATATTACAGTAACATCTTACCTCTCTGATTCAGTTGCAATGTTAATAAACCTATATGACATTAAAAAGGTTTCTGCTGGATCAGAACACTATATATTATCATCATTCATGTTTTATACACATTTCACTCAATTCTTACAGAGAAGGTGAACCGCTGGGCTGCTTATTAGCTGAACTTTGTGAGCAGGTATTGACTGAACATACTCGCACAGAGACTTGTCTTTAATAACTACCCAATTTTCATATCTCTGCTACATGAAAAAAAAAAAAAAACAGAGGCTGCTTATTTCCAGTGAGCAGCATTAGTAGTTTCCAGAAAGGATTACATCATTATCCACAGGTAATACATGTATTTACTGTTGCAGACACAGCCAGAGACGACATTTTAGCTTTCAGATCCTTATGAAAAGACAGAGAAAGGGTTAAATTGGAAAATAAGTTTTCCTGTGGGGTCCATTGTGCACCGGAGTCATATTCTTCTATCTATTTCAGAGTGTGAACAGGAGCCCTTCTGGTCTCAAGGCCTCATGTCTCAGCCTTCAGGCTACTTCCCCAACATGGCTTCACTGCTAATTTTACAAAAATGGGAAAACAGCAGCGTTCTGCATCAGCTCTCCTGTCTGCGACAGAGGGATCGGACTCTGGGTGTTGCTGGCAGCGTTTTTACAGAGAGACAGCTCCACCCTGCAGGCTGTGCGATGGGTGTCCCGTCTGTCGTGTGGAAGCTCTGCCTCCAGGACCTATCAGTACCAGGAGAGAGGGGATGGGGGATTTTACACACTACAGTTCTGCTATTTGACTTCCATCTTTGTACCATATGCACTTGACCTCATTCAAATTATGACTGATACAGATTTGTACCCTTTGTTTTCAGAATTTCTGCAATTTTATAAAAAAAAACATCCCCTAGTGAACTAGCTAATCCATTTTCCTTTCTCTGATCTTTACCGTTTCTTTCTGTCCAAATAAATCCTGCTTGCTGAGGAGACAGTGAACAAAACCACATTAACGGAGGTGTTTGCACAGTATGCCCCTGTGCCCCTCTCCAGCTTTATTCAGGCTGACTGCCTGCATGTGTGCTGCACAGCTATAGCCTGCAGCATTGCCAATCTCATTTGGAAGCAGCCACACATTTGGGACTGTGTAGAGTGACATCATGCAGAAACATTTTAAAGGAAAATCCCATCTATTTACGTATATGACCTGCATAAGAGCATCAATTTGTAATATTTGATGCATTTGGGAGTCATTTTTGTGTTAATCCACTTTTTTCTCTCATTGTGACTTCCTACATTTTTAATAATCCATTGCAGCAAACTTGGAGCTAATGTGTGGGTTCCACATGTCTTCTACAGCTGATTTCTGTCCCAAAAGGAACTGAGATCGACTCGCATTAGACTGAGTCTTTCTGTTAACGCAGTTGGCATACAAGTACAGTTTCTTAAATACAGTACTTGGTTCCCAGAATAGAAATGAGGGTACCACCTGTTTTTAGTCACATGGTGTTGTCCTGCAAATCCCCATAAGAACATGCAAACACCATGCCCTCCCAATCAGAGCTCATTTTCACCTTTACATGTTTGTTGTATTGATATTTTCCTTTCCATTTGACATCTTCAGTGGCTTTTAACTGTGGGAAAGCAACACAGAGTGACGCATGAGCCTTAAATTAGAAATGCCATGGGTTAACAGAACATGTATCTTAGCATCGGCTGTGTTTCAGATCTTGAATCATCCTATCAACACATATGTCCTTAACTACCATCTTAACTGCCTGTCATATATAATAAAATAATGCAGAAATGTGATGCAAGTCATTGAAGATAAATTAATTATTGATGTTCAACCTTCAATTTAGATTCAAATAATGGTATACTGTACTATGAATTGATGTACTGTAATTAACATAGTTTGGTACATCATACTAGGTCAGCACACATTGCAGTATTTCTATGGGATTTCAGTGTTGCAGCTGACACAGTAAACATGGGCAAAAACTGGGTTTGCTAACATTAAATCAGCAACAGATATTTTTACAGTTGTAAATAATCTGAATTATTCATACTGAAAATACCTCAGAGGAGCAATACTGTAGTTTCCAGTGATAAACTCAGATCTGTGTGTATTTTGTACAGCAAGTACCCATCGTTATCTGCAGTCTGTGTCACACACTTGTGCACATCATTCTTCCTCTGTGTGAGAGCTTCTTGGAGCACCAAATCAGCGGGGATTTGCCAAACTGCTGCAATAGTTCCCATCAATGTTAGGCAAACATTTGAAAATGCTGATAAAAATTTTGTTTATCACACACCAAACAGGTCACACAAAGGTTAAAAATGAGTAAAAAAATAACAGAATTCCAGTCAGGTCTGACAAGGTTAGGTTTTAGCCCATGGGCCAGCAGTGCTGGAGGGGTGTGACAAGTCCAGGTCACTGGATTTCTCTCTCTCTCTGCGCTGACTGCCTCCTGCCCCACAGTTATCTCTGTCAATGTGCATTCAATCAGCAGAGCGCTGACATTTACTGTCGGGGAAAACAGCACACATTCATTTGTTTCAGTCGTAGAGAGGATTCCTGAATGGTTGGTCATCATGACTGGGGAATTAGGGGCAGATTCAAAACAGTTCAAGAGAACTAGTGATGGACATCTCTTTTATTCTTTATTCAAAAATAGATAAAAGCACCATGGGCTGAATGGCATTACATTTAGCTGGTGACTTGGTGCATAAAAAGAAGGTTAAGTAATTCACTTTAAGATCATTTTTAAACAAAACTACCACAGCATTGACATACTTTTTAAAGTCAGCCTTTAACCTTGCTTTTGTGCTGCTCTTCAAAGTGCAGCTGTAAAATGAAACACATTTTGTCAAACAGGAGATGTCAGAGCAGGGGGCTTCCTATCTACCTGTGCTTTCAGCTCTCAGCCTTGATCTGTGGCTGACAGCAACAGGGGGCCGCAGAATGAAAGTAGTCCAGTTTCAGTACAAGCAGAGCTGTTATTTCACACCAGCTGGGCTAGTGAGTGACTCTTAATAACATGTGAGTGTGTGTGAATACTTCTGTGTGCATGTTCACACAGAGAAACATTTCTCTAAATCTAATTTGCTTGAAAATAAATCATTAAAGCTGAAATGATCCCTTGTAGTAATTTAACTATAGCGACATAAGTGACAGCTCCACCTTATTGCTAGCTCTCTATTCTGGCATGGCACTGCTGTTTACAGTAATAATGGAGATTAATCATTCAAAATTCTTAGTAACAGGTGTTGAAATATTACAATTTATTTAAGAACATTAGGGATAATGAAATGTAAAGTAGCTCTCCCACTGATCAGCACATGGGTCTTACTGTGTCTCCCTGCTACACTGGGAATCAAGTTTGACTGGGGTCACGTCCTCAAATCCAGTAAGAAGCAGGACAGAGCTGCTATTAGCCTAAATTCTGACATAGTAACATCCATCACTGGCTTCCGATCAGGGGAGCTGTGTTTGTGTAACCCTGTAAAATAATAAAGTTAGCTGAAGATATGCTAACCCTTGGCTGGGGAAGCAGCACTATTAACATTAAGATAGTTAACCTGACATGCTAGCAGTAGTGGAGAGGTGTTAACAGTCTGTTAAACCTACTAAAATGTCTCTTTAGTGATTCTTTTTAAACTACATGTCTGAACTTTCCATAATTTCACTACAATAACCCCGCTGACATCACTATTGTTTCTGTGACATCATAGTGGAGAAATGGCTATATTTAGTTACATTACGTTAGTGTAATTACTGTACTGTGAAATCACTGTGACCATATTGTCTGTGGTGACTTGTTTTTCCTGTATGAGATATAATGTAAAAACCATCACCAACACTGGGGAAAATCCCTCAGTACAAGTGGAGAAATTAAAATTGTTTTACATAGTGATGATTTCTGAATGGAAACTGTCGTGCCTAATCTATTTCTTTTTTGAAATCAGTGTGAACTCCCCAAACCTTTCATGGGAGTACACAGTTTTACCAAATATTTTATGAGTCACCATTTATCAGCCAACATTATTTCAGATAAATGTTGGCATGGAGTGCTACAGTCAGAATGTCTCATTCATCATTCAATCATTTAACAACTGAA